TCCTAACCTTGCAGCTTGTCTACACCCAGAAAATACACAGAGATGTTAGGGTAAAAAAACAAAACAAAACAAAACAAAACAAAGCAAAAACTGTGTTTAAAAGGGGAAATATATATATTTTTAAAGTAACTGTTTTTAAGGGGAAAAAAGGTGGCAGGGGCGGGGGTAGTTTAATCCTCCAGGGTCTGGAATCAGGTTTCCTTGCTGGAATTGGGAATGGCCAGATAATTGCATCAGGGGCTCCCCAAGTACCCTGAGGCTTGGGATTGTGGGAGAGGGTCTAGGATTTCCTTTTGGTGACTTTTGGAGGCTTTTTAGATGACACATCCATGTTCCCCCAGTCACTTCGGCACTGAATCTCGGCCGGTGGAGACTGTGTGATTGCTCTCAGCAGCCTCATATTTGGGATTTTTCAGAGCATTCTCCTATGTCTGCTGTTCCTCTTACATCTCTGCATGTTATTTAAACAGCGTTTATGCCAAGAAATGGAATAGAGGTGAAGAAAGTATATGCAGACATTTAAAACTCAAAATTCCTTCCTTTATTCCCCCCCCCCAACACTAAGAACTGTCTGAAACCTACAATAAATGCCTGGTAGTTAATGTGAAATTAACATTAGCCAGTAAATTTATTATTAAAGTCTTTAAAACTTACAATTTTGCATCATTTCTTCCTGCCTTTTATTTTGCACGTACACTAAGTCAGGTATTAGGGAATTGACTCATTCTAACCAAAGAGCAAAAGCCAGAGAACCCAAGAGGTGTTTAATAAACACTTGTTGACTGATTGATGGAATATACTGACCTCGCATCTCCTAGACAATGCATTCTTTGTCAGAGCACTAAGGTAAGTCGGTGGGTCCGCTTTTATTACCAAACATTTCTGCCATGTCGAGGGGAGGAAGCCAGCTGAAACTCTGTCCACGGGCCTGGGGCTCAGGTTCACAAAAGAAACCCTAGGGCTCTACCTTTCACACCTGTTTTCACTCTCAGCAACAGAGGGGGGACTTGCCCCAGCTAAACAATGCAGAGGTGTTGGAGACACAGGCCTGATGCAGACCTAACCATGACGCCCCTCGGACTCCTTACTATGAATATTACCACGGCTGCAACTCACAGTTTGTACACATTAAAAAACAAAACATAAGAAACAACAGAGCTGAGTAAAATTAAAAAAGAGAGAGAGAGAAACACAGTATTGTAACTAATTTACAAAGCCCAGCTAAGTCTTTCTGCCTCGTTCTTCCGAGAGAAACCGAAGCGTGAAATATCAAGTTCCCGGCTCCCCACAGCCAGGCACATCTCTGCCCATCCGATTCAGCTGACCATTCCAGAAAGTATGCCTGTGTGAATGACCCCCTCGCTTCTCTTCGCAGCCCCTTCCTCTCTTTCCTTGCTAGGACTTCGTGAAAAGAGCTAAGTGCCCTTTACCCTGTTCTGCTTGGCCCCTGGGGTTCCGTGCTCACCTGGCCCAGACCCTGGACCTATGGCTTCCCCTTGACTTTGCTCCTGGCTGGCGTTGATGGTTTACACTCCCCGCCCTTCTGCCATGCCCCTCACCTCCACTGCCCACCTGCTCCCTAGAGCTGCCAGATTTCTCTGCCTAACACGACAGCCGAAAATGTTTCTGACCCTGTCAGCTCTCAGGTGCAGCTGTACCTGGACATTAAAGGCCCCCAAACTATGTCTTCAACAACCAACAGGCCCCACATGCCCCTTTCATTAATCAGAATCCCCTTGCAATGTTACCAACCTACTTCTATGTTGATGATATGTTTTGTCATTTCGGAAAATGTAAACAAATCACTATGCCTTTCTCTCCATCTTCTCTTGTTATCGGTAAGAAAGTGCAGGACGGAAGGGAGAGAAAATGCGTGTGAGATTGAGCCTAGTCCATCTACCGTCAGGAATTCTCTTCAACTCGAATCTAAATGCTCTTCTCCCAATTATTGCTCGGAATCTTGAGTACCTGATCTTGAATTTCGATGGCACTCCCTGAGCGCGGGACTGGCTGGTAGCCATGTGATATTGATTTGTTTTCACCATAGCAACAGCAAATTAAAACAACTAGCAGAGAGGAGGCAGGCTGTTAACCAGTAAAGCTACAAACCAGTATATTTTGCAAGCATATTTTCCTCCTTTCCTCTTAATTTCTGTCTTATTCATTCCACTTTCACAAATTTAATGCAAAGTCAAGGCAAAAAGAGCACGAAATGCTTTGGGCACTACAAGGTCTACGTCTGAAATAGTCTGGTTGGCACAGTTTCTAGTATATTAGACCAGATCGATGGAGAAAATGCAAACACCGACGCTCTGATTTCCTTGGAAATGTTGTTTGTTGGTCTAAGGATAAATATCCCTAGAAAATGGACATGAGCATGAAGTAGAGTGAAGGGTTCTGGAAATATGACTATCTTAATACCCTACGGCATTTGCCAACAGTTTCATTAATACAGAGGTTTTATCCTTTGTACTTTAAATAGCTCATTGTAGCAAGAGACAAATGACTTTTTTTTTTTTTTTGGTACAAGGTCAAGGCCTCTCAAAATGCTAGAATTATGAGAGAAAGTGTAGCAAGTATTACTCAGTTCTATTAAGAGAAAGAGAAACTGAGGTGGGTGCTTGCTTATTAAGGCTACACAGGCAGCATGAAAGGGAATGTCAACTAGAACCAGGAACTCCCGAAAACTCCCGTCTGTTCTGATGGAAATTCTCTCTTAAAAGGCTCTGTGTTAAGAAACTAACCTTCCCCTGAGCTCTGTGACCAAGGTTACCACCTGTGACATGGATTAACAACCCGCAGGATTGGCCTTCCCTCCCTTCAGCCCATCTGCCCTAGGACATCGTGCTCTTTCTATAAAAGCAGCTGTTCCCACCATCACAACCGGCCACGGAGTTGGTGGCATAACCGTGGTCCTCAATAGTGGCTCTAGGGGAACTGGGAATGAGGCCACAGGCACTGTCCACCCAGGTGGCAGTACTGGGCTGTGCCAAGGGGAAGTTGGGCCAGAAGCAAAGCCATGCTCCGCTCCCTGCCGTTTTTTGCCTGCGCAGCCAGAACCCTGCAGAGAACCTGCTCAGACCCGCCCGAGGAGAGGCAGGTAGAAGAAGATGCCCTAGTTATGCTGGAGACTGGTTGGGGGTTTAGAAAGGCCGGGCTACGCTGTGAAGACATAACTCAAGACCTGCCAAGAGAGAGTCAGAATGTTCCTGGCCAGGACATAAAGCAATATTCCTCTCCATGAGCCTGAATAAAAGAACACACAGCAGAAATAGTTGGGGGATGACGTCAGAAGTTCTGGGCTAGTGTCCTGCACTTCTCCTTGAAAGTAAAAACAGTGGGTCTAGAAGAATCTACGTGGCACTGCCCTTCTTTAAATGAATATTTGAACAGCCCCTCACAAAACAGGCAGGGTAGCTGGAGAAACTTCATCTTATTGAAAGATTAGAAGCATGCCCTCCTCTCTCTCTCTCTCTCTCTCTTTTTTACTTTATTAGCCCCCAAATTCACGTATTAACAAATTAACAAATATCTTTCCACTTAACCTTTGTCTTTTAAAAGGACAGCGATGTTTCTTGAAGAACATTCACGGTGGTAGTGGTTAGGCAAGTCAGATTTTTTTCCTTCGCTTCAGTGCTTGCTAACTATTCTAAAAATGTTACACATTTATTGTAAACACATGCTTCCGAGGCCTAACAAAAAAGCACAGTTTCCTCATGCCTGGCAGAAATTTAAAACGGAAAAGGGCAGAAAGAATTCTTTAACAAATATATCATTTCCTTCTCTTGGGCCAAGTGTGTTAAAAATAAATCTCCATCATTTCTCCCTGCTGCTTCTCGGCAAGAAAGTTGATATGGTTCGGCATAGTGAGACACAGCTTTAAAAGCTAGCCTGCCCTCATTAAATTATTCTGCTGGCTGTGTGTTCTCATTAAAAATGCATAAAGATCAGATAATTGCAGTAAGCATTATTAACCCAGCTTTACTTTTGAATATAATGGTTCCACTTTTAAGCTGGAAACAAAGGCTCAGACATGCCAGAAAAAGAAATGTAAACATTGAACTACAGTATCGAAAACTTGTCAGAAAGCTACCTCTTGCTAGCTTGTTAAAAATGTGCTTTTGAAACTCAACGCCCTGGCATTACAGAACGAGGCAGGTCCCTAATTTCTAACAAACAGACATGTATATATATATATACACATATATGTATATGTGTATATATATATATATATTCTTTTTTTTAGCTAAACGTTCCACCGATGATGATTCACTGCGAAGTTTTCTTTTTCTTCTTAATTACAAGCCCGTTTTTCAAATAATAGGATCAACGTAAACTTTATTTATTCGGGAGTTAACGATGGCAGTGTGAGAACGCTCTCCACCGAGAAAATAAGAACGCTCCCAAGAATTCAAATGGTTTCTGTTGAAGAAATAAATAGATCTGTTCTTGGAATAAAAACTCGTTTTATGCCTCACCCCAGACAGGCGGCATCGATTCAAGCTTTGCCATGTCTTTCCCTCAAATCAGAATGTTACGTAAAACTCCAGGGTCCCCTGCAAGTATTACATTTGAATTAGTGGAATCCGGTTTCCCTGGCTTCCCGAAGGAACACACATGGAATGCAGCATACTGCAGCAAACTCTTTAAACATTCAAAAAAAAAAAGGGGGGGGGGAAGGGGGGGGATGATTCTCTTACCTTGTTTAGCTCTGCCTCTTCTTCCCGTTTACAGTAACCCCGGGAACATCTGGCAGAATCGGGCGGCCGAGGAGGCTTCTCCGCGGCATCATGAGGAAGAAATTTCCATGTAAATAGTCCTCATTCCCTGCGTATTGTACTCTGAGAGCCGTCTGCCGTAGCTGGAAAATTTTGCCTTCAGATGATGAAGCAAAGACAGTCTAAACTCTGTTGCTGTAAAGCTGCAGCCCTTCCTCCCGACAAACCCCGCCCCGCGGCGGGGCGGGCGGCCAATCGCCGGCCAGCTCGTCAGCCCTGCTCGTCTGAGCCCGGCCCTCATAGGGTGACGGACACAGCAACACAGCGCCGGCCGTGTGTGAAAACAGTGCATCCATACTGATGAAAGAGGAATTTCCCTCTCAGAAGAAAGCAATCAGAGCACCAAGACAAAGTGGCACATAATTGGCAGAGCCGAGAGAGGGGTAGCTGGAGAAAACACCCTTGAAGACAGCCAGCCTCAAGCTTGGGCTGCACTGCAAATACTTGCGGAAATACCAACTCCGCAGATTCCAAAGGGATCCAGGTCGTACAGGAAACTGAAGTCATGCTCCCGGCTGACAAAGCATGGATTTGTTTTTCGGGGGGTGGGGTGGGGGTGGGGGTGGGGGTGGGGGTGGGGGTGGGGGTGGGTGGGAAGGAACCGCACGTCGACCACGGGCGGGGATACCTTGCAGAGCATTTTACAGATGATTTCTCTTAGCGGGGGAGACGGTGTTAGCCCGAGTGCATATTCAAAATCAAAACATGCTTAACCCCTTCGCACACAGTTTCCCTGAAGAACAGCTGTGACTGCAGTGCTTAGTTCCTGTAGCTCCTAGAGCTTTCATCTAAGTTTTTCCAACCACTGGGGTCTTCAGTTAGGGGATTCTGAACAATACAACTGATAGCTACACATTACCCTTTTGTCCTGTTGGCAGGCACCCCAGAGAGGATTAGGTGTGCTTTCGCCTAATCCTAAGGGACCTCAGGTACCATTTGATAAATACTGTGCATTGGTCCATATTGTCATTAATGAAGCAGTGATTACAGGAAGATAGTCACAGGGGAATGCATACGGCACGCGACCCAAGGGGCACCATTGGGTGCCACTCCCCAAAGGTTGTCTAGAGGTGCTGAATTTCCCCGAGAAAAAGCAGGAAAAAAGAAACAGAAAGGTTGGATGGGTCACTTATTTTTTCCCCCAGTCAACAGTACTCCTGCATGCTCTCAAAACAAAACAAAACAAAACAAAACAACCCATATGGCATTTGGAGAACACAAAAAGCATACATTTTCCTTCCACTGAAACACAACATTTTGAATTTAAAAAATGAAGTGTCATGCCTCCATGACTAAACCAAAGCAGGAACAAAGCCCCATTCATCTGAAAGGTTGAACCAATGCACTGTTGTTTACGAGCAACTACTCAGTGGATGTCACAGTTGAGGTGGAAGGTAGTGGTTTCCTTTGATTTTGCTAACTGCAGTTTGAAACACAAGGTTTCATATGATGTGTAGGCTATGTCTTCAATAGACTATCATGCGTTATCCCCCCTTGGATTTTATACTTCTAATGAGGATTACAACAGTTTTCATCCTGATGTAAATCCATCACATATAACTTTTAGGCTTTTGCCTACTATAATTTTTACTGAAAATTTAAATAATCTCTGTGGTCCAACAGGTAGACAATTATTTTTAGCTATTGATATACTTAATATCATACTGCCTGCAAATGGATAATCACAGGTCTACGAATCTCCTCTTCCCCATCTCCCTGATTCAGACAATGAGACTACCATGACCTTCATTTCATTCCTGAAATTTTAGTCATCTTTGACTCATTCTCCTACCTTCATCCAATGAAACTAGATCTCATTGATTTTTTTCCCTCCGGGCTAGTTCAGAACTCTGACCTGCTACCTGGATAGTACAAATGCTTGTAAGTTGGCTTCTGGGACACAAGCCTTCCCATGTTCGAGATTCCCGTTGCCAGACGGGTTCTCCCGTCATGTAAAGTCACGTTCCTTTCATATTCAAAGTCTTCTCTTTTAAAATCCAAATTACAGACTTTGAAGGATTTTCCATAATCTGGCCTCTCTCTTTCCACTCAACTTTTTCTACCCTGTTTTCCCAAGTGAACTTTTTGTTGGAGTCACGCTTATTTCTCCGAGACCTGGCTCCCGCAGTCCATCCCTAGACCTGACTCCCAAGAGCTTCACTTAACAAAATCTCATCCAACCTTTAGACCTCAACTTGCATCCTCTTTCCTCTGTTATGGCTTCTCTGTTCACATCGTCTTCTCTGATGTTCTTCTCCTCTGAAAGCATGCTGGCACTGTTCATTTTACCAGCCCATTAACCCCCTAATGATGAGCTGATCTCCCCACCCCAGAAGGCAAGGTTTGCACGGTATATTAAGATAATGTACTTAAAACATCTATACAGCGGCTGGCACGTGATCAATGTGCCACTCATATTTATTTCTACATTTCTGTCATATCTAGCAGCATGGCATGAGTAAACTTGCTGATTTCATGATTCCTATCTCAAGAATTGGTATCCTATCCATCCAATTTGCACAAGCAAAAACCTGGTGGTCATTCTTGATCCTCTCTCCCCAAACACCGTATGAAATCCATTATCAAAGCTTGTCAGGTTCGGCACCTAAATGTTTAGAAATGTTTCACTTCGCCCTGTCTCCACCAATGCGGTTTGGTCCAAGCTATCCATATCTTTCACTATGACTATGAAACAGACTTTTAGCTGGCCTCCTGCATATTTTCTTGACCCCTTCAGTCCCTTCTCTACATATCAGTAAACATAAGAATTCAAAAGTAGAATTCTGATTATTCTACCTACAGTCCTCTGCCCAAAATCTTTGCTATGGACTAAGGTGTGTCTCCTCCAAATTCCTATGTTGAAGCCCTAAGCCCCAGTGGAGTGGTATTTGGAGATGAGGTCTTTGGGAGATAATCAGGTTATGAGGGTGGAGCCCTCATGATGGAATTAGTGCCCTTCTAAGAAAAGATATCAAGGAGAGAGATCTTTTCTCTCTCTCTCACCCAAGCGAGGACAGAGCAAGAAGGCAGTCATCTCCAAGCCTGGAGCAGGCCATTACCAAAACCTGACCATACTGTCCCCTGGTTTCAGACTTCCAGCCTCCAGAACCCTGAGAAAGTACATTTCTGTTGGTAAAGCCATTTGTCCACAGGGCATTTTGTTATGGCAGCCTGGGCTGGGGAACAAGATAAAAGTTCTCAGCGTGGTTTACAAGGTCCCATGTTATCCAGCCCCAGCCTACCTCTCTAGCCTAATCAGTGGCCTTTTCTTCAGGGAGCCCTTCCCTGACCCCACGATGAGTTTAGGTCCCACCTGTTGTTTTCTCTCCCAGCCTGTGCACTCCAGAGCAGTGCTTCTCGAATTTAATGTGCATGCAGATCCCCCAGGGATCTTGTTAAAATTCTATCTCAGTAGTTCTTGGGTGGATACTGAGATTCTGCATTGCTAACAAGCTCCCAGGTGATGCTGCTACTTCTGGTCCATGGACTACTCTTTGAGTAGCAAGATTTTATAGATGTTGTTTACTTTATAGCACTTTTTATAGGGCATGGGAATACGTTTATTTGGTTAATTACATAAGATCTATCTTCTCAGCCAGCTGACCAGCATCAGAAGCCACTACTGTCTCTCCAACATCCAACTGAGTATGTGCCTGGCACTTGACAGGAGATGCGCAATGATAAATATGTGTTTTGGCTCTTCCTCGGCGCTGCCTGCGGAGGTGGCAGCCATCTGTTACTGGGCATCGTGGCTGCCCTCAGACCTCTGGTGAAGCCCAAGATCGTTAAAAAGAGGACCAAGAAGTTCATCTGGTACCAGTCAGAACGCTATGTCAAAATTAAGCGCAACTGGTGGAAACCCAGAGGCACTGACAATAGGGTGCACAGAAGATTCAAGGGCCAGATCTTGATGCCCAACATTGGTTACGGGAGCAACAGGAAAACAAAGCACATGTTGCCCAGTGGCTTCCGGAAGTTCCTAGTCTACAATGTCAAGGAGCTTGAAGTGCTGTTGATGTGCAACAAATCTTACTGTGCAGAGATTGCTCACAATGTCTCCTCCAAGAACCACAAAGCTATTGTGGAAAGAGCAGCCCAGCTGGCAATCAGAGTCACCAATCCCAATGCCAGGCTGTGCAATGAAGAAAATGAATAGATGGCTTATTGTGCACATCATATTTGTGTTAATAAAACCATACAACTAAATAAATAAATAAATAAATAAATAAATAAATAAATAAATAAATAAGTGTTTTGAATTAATGAATTGATCAATACAACATACTGCAGATCCAAGCTGGACTTTTCTTTCTTTTTCTTTTTCTCATCTGCCTCCCCTTCCTCCCCCTCTCCCCTGACCCTTCTTCCTCTTCTCTTCCTCCTTCTGTCTATAACTCAATTGTGGAAGCCTTGAAACTCTGGAAAGAAAATTAATGTTTATTGAAGTCATGATATACTAAATAGAAAGGAGAATGTTGAGAAACCAAACAGAAAAAGTGTCAAGAAGGTGATGAACTGTGTCAAAGTAAAGAAGGTGGCCAGAGGAATCAAAACCATAGATACTTGTCCAACAGAAGTTGTCAATTATCTCCTCCAGGTTGATGAATTCAAGATCTATAACTCTGTCCCTTTCTCTTGACCTCTATGCCCAATTTATCACTTGAATGGACCAGAGATAACTCATTTTCACCTTGTCCCTAACTTATTTTTTATTCTATTAGAACACATTGCTCTTATGTCTCCCACGTTAGTGAATGGGGCCACCATCTTTTATGCCTGCCTCTGTCTCACTACCAACATGCAAATACTCCCATGTCCTATAGATTCCTATCTCTTGAATTCATTGATGTCTCCCCATCTTCACTGCTGTGTCCCTAGTTCAAGTCCTCATCCTCTTCTGTCTTCTCTTCACCTCCCTGCTTCCAATCTTGGCCCTCACTTTTCATACCACAGCCATACCACAGCCAAATGGAAACACAAATCTTATCATGTCATTATCTACATAGTCACTCCGTGACACCCGTTATCTTCAGGACAAACTCCTTGCCTAATTCTTGAGTATATTCTCTTACCACTCCTCTTGAACTTACTTCCCTCCTACTTAATACCCAGTATTACTAAACCAGTTTTAATCCCTAGAATGTATTATTCTCTTGCTAATTTACAGCCTGGATTCCTTCTGTATAAAACAGCTCTGATTCCTTTTATGCCCATCTGACATCTTTCCATCCAGCAATACTCAATGTACATACCACCTCTTCCAGGAAGCCTTCCCTGACCACCATGACTTCCTTGGCCCCTTGACATTGTATTCACCATAGCAATTATCACAGTGTATTGTGAATATAGTTTCCTTACTTATGATCTCACTAGTGTCTGTGATAGAAGTGACCATGTCTTTCTTGTTCATCAGTTTATCCCCAGTACCTAGAACATGTGGTGATGTAATAGCAGACACTAAATTGTGTTGAATGGTTAAATGGATAAATTTAAAAATAACACTAGTAACACAGTGGCAAAGAGAAATGCAGGGTTCAAGCAAAAAATTGATAGTGAACGGGCAGGCGCCTGGGTGGCTCAGCCAGGTAAGCGTCTGACTCTTGGTTTCAGCTCAGGTCATGATCTCAGGGTTGTGAGATCAAGCCCTGTGTATGGCTCTGCGCTGGGCCTGGAGCCTGCTTGGGATTCTCTCTCTCCCTCTCCCTCTGGCCCTCCCCACCCCCACTCGAGTGCTCCTTTCTAAAAAAAAAAAAAAAAAAATCGACACTGAAGGCACGGAAGGCATAGGGACAATGGATGTAGCCTACATACGTATTAAAAAAAAAAAAAGCCTAGAGAAGGGAAAGAGGAAATAATATAAAAGCTAAAAGGCACAGTGCAGTTAGGAGATCACTCCTTTTGTTGGATGTACCAAAGTTAGCAAGCTCATGGTCAAGAGGAAACTCATCTCTGATGATGTTTAAAATGGAGGTGATTTCCATAGAAACAAAATCTTCCTTTGAGTGGAAAAGGGTAGGTGTCCTAGAACAGATGGAAGTGCTGACTTTTCAGAAGAGAGGGCTTAAAAGGAGGAGAAGGTTGTTTACAGCCAAGAGAGAAGTGAGACAGAAAGGCCCACTGCAGATGGGCCTGGTCTGTGACAGTTTGGTCTCTCTCAGTATAATCTCCCGGTATGCTTTTCTAGCCTACATGTGTCCACTTGGTCCTTTAGTATATACTGTTCTTTATTTTCCTCTAGTTGTTTTATGTGGAAACCTTACCACAAGTCCCTTGAGGGCAGAGACCATGCACTAAAACCTTTTTGTATCCTCCACAGTGCCTAGCATGGAGCAATGCTGAATTAATTTTGATTGATGGATTTTTACTGGAGAAAATTTGCATACTTTAGAAAAGATTGGTAGTTTTTTGTTTGCTTGTTTTTTTTTTTAATGTGCAAACTGTTGAAAATGTAGCAAGGAATAGAAAACTTGGTTTTATGATTGTCAGAAAAAAAGTTATAGTGTTTTCAATTGAATTTATTGCAAGGAAGATCAACTGGTTCCTATTATGTTTCCATGGGTCCAGGGGCAGAAGACTCTGGGAAAAATCAGGACTAACATTTCTAGGGTAAGGAAAACAGAATGAAATAAATTGCATAAAGCATGTAAATAATAAAATGATGTCTGAGAAAACCTCATAAAACATGGCACATAATTAATTATTAATATATCTTAGCTACTACTATTACTACTGCTGATTTTATCATCATCCTTAGGTTCTAGATTTCTAGTGAGATTTCACTGAAGAGTGATTATGTCAAAACATGATCACTAAAGTAGAGATTTCCACACTTTCCTGCTTTGTAGCACTTTTGACATCCTGTATTTTTTTCACAATGCTCCTAGGCCAAAAGAAATACCTAAATGTTCTATTTAATAAGTAATTAGGTCCTAACAACTTAGTTGACTGTTTATATTTAACAACTTTGTAGCTGTTTGAAAAATTAATAGAAAAAGTTTGGAAGAAAAAGTAATATTTTTATTTCATTCTTAAATAACCCTAATGAGTTATTAATAGATTGTGCGTGCCTATTGGGCACTGCATACAATTCTCAAAGCCTGAAATCAGACTGGAACCACTACGCTTCATTTACCGGTCCACAATGATTTTTGTGCAGTACTTGCTTTTCGTATTCCTCACTGCTAAAAATCCAACTTTGCAAAGATAGATGGTATCATTGAAAGGAATGTAGCATGAGTCTCATACTGAAACTGAATTACCTTGAATTAGTAATTTGCACACCATCTGACACATTTTGAGAGTACTGCTGTTTTCCCTGGAAATAGAAAATGTCTCACGGAACCCCTGCGAGTTCACTGCAGCTTCCCCAGGGTGACTCATAGCACAGTTTGTGAACCACGCACTAAGGCATGGGTTGGCCAATGTCAACTGTCCCACTGTTTTTGGTTTTGTGTTTGTTTTCTGGCGTGATACTTGCATCAGGCCTTCTGTCCTGAGGTCCAAGAGCACTTGAAGTTGCAGAAAGAAGATCGGGTCAAAGGTTGCTGGACATGCCAGCCCTGAAACTGAGGTCATTTGAAAACAAGCTTCTGAGATGCAGGTGAGGCTTACAGTTCTCCAGAATTTCAGATGCTTGTGGGGCAAAAAGAAGAGACTAGGAGACAAAGAGGATGATGATACTGTTGGCTATTGATGGTGAAAGACACTTGCCAGTGACCACTGTCTTTTAAAATGGTGAATTCTGGAAATAAGTGTAAAGAGGAAGGAACGGTGAGACTTTTCCCTATTAGTCCTCTTCATTAAGACCACACATATCTTTTGCTGCTCATCCCTATTTTCTCTTAGGCAGGCTGGGGAATTACCATGCTTCCTTCATATGCACTATAATCTAATTTTACTTGTAATAAAGGATGAGTATTCTTAGACCCTGTCTCCACCTCTTTGTATTAATGTGGCATTTACGACAGGGAAGAGAATCCCCCAAACCTGAAATGCTACAGGTGGCTGGCATTCTCTTGCCCCTGTTGGACAACTTGGAAGATTCTTTCATTCCTTACCTCCTGCCCATCTTCTGAATGAGAGGTCAAGCTGGACAGGGGTCCAGCAGCAACTGGATGAGAAGAGAACTACTTCCTCTACTTTTCCTTCCTTTTCCATAGCTTCTGCCCCCATTTGTCATAACGTATAATCGACTTTTACTGTTTGTTGTCGATCCCCTCCACTAGAATATAAGTCCCCTATGCCCCCCACAGGCAGGGGGCTTTTACTATTTTGTTTGTTGGTATATTCCAAGTGCCTATGATAGAACCTGACCCATGGGACTGATAATACATGTTTGTTAAATAAATGAAAAAAATGTTGGCAGACTGAACTATGGTAGAGGATGAGTAAGAAACTGTGTTTGAGGCCAAGCATCAGAGCACCTCCTTAGGTGCTTCCCAGGGTTGTTGGGAGTCATGCATGTGGAAACCAAGGAAGAGTCAACCCCCCCCACCCCGCCATCGAGAACAACTTGAGTGCCGCTCAATGGCGTATGCTGTTGTAGAGTTGGGATTTTATGGTTCACTGATGTTCCATGAGCAGCCCAGTTCCAGAGACAGGGTCTTTAATGGAACAGGAGTGTCCTCTTTTCCAGAAGGTTGAGAAATGGGTGGGCTTGACGAAAAAGGTGATCTTGGTGAGGTCACGGGCTCAGGGTATGTGAGCTCGTGGACTAGAGGAGACACCATCATCCCTGAGTGAAAGGTTGGACTAGCTGTGGGAAATAACAGGTGCAACTTGGATTAAAGCTTGCATTTCAAGAATGAATGCAACTGGTTTTGATCTACTACCATTATATGAAACTCTTTCCAAAGCTCCCAGTCCCCACTCCACCTCTTTTTGGTTCTCCCAGGATTGCCACCCTACCTGGATCCCCTTCTTTACGCATCTGATTAGGATTTATCGAATACTTGCCATATATTGATTCCAAACAAGGCAGGGACGATCTGAAGATGAGCAAGATACAGGCATGACCCTGAGGAGCTTAAAGAATGACACAGTGATCCCAGAAGCAAGATCTATGGATGCTCGTCTCAAAATGTTCCCAAAGAAAAGGATCCACAGCCAAGGAGGTTCGGGAAATGTTGGAAGAGCCATTAAACATGTGCTTTCACCACAGGACTTCTCAGAGCTTTTATTCTGGGAATGTGCTTTG